CAGGTCTTCGGATGGGAATGGCTCTAAATTGCGATCTATGGCTTGCTTTTCTTGGTCCTGAGAAAGGCCTGGTTAATGCAATGAAGTAATTTATATAACAGAGTTGGAAGGGACCTTGGAGGTCTTCTAGTCCAACCCCCCCTGCTCAAGCAGGAGACCCTATACCATTCCAAACAGGTGGCTGTCCAGTCTCTTCTTGAAAACCTCCAGTGATGGAGCACCCACAACTTCTGAAGGCAAGCCGTTCCACTGGTTGATTGTTCTCACTGTCAGGAAATTTCTCCTTAGTCCTAGGTTGCTTCTCTCCTTGATGAGTTTCCATCCATTGTTTCTGAAATGCTGGAAGAAGACTGCTATCATGTCTCCTCTAGTCCTTCTCTTCACTAGACTAGACAAACCCAATTCCTGCAACTGCTCTTCATATGTTTTAGCCTACATCCCCCAATCATCTTTGTTGCTTTTTTCTGCACTCCAGAATCTCTACATTTTTTTTATAATATGGTGACCAAAACTGGGTGCCATATTCCAAGTGTGGCCTTACTAAGGCTTCATAAAGCGGTACAAAGACTTCTTGTGATCTTGATTCTATCCCTCTGTTGATGCAGCCTGGGATTGCATTGGCTTTTTTGGCTGCCGCCGCACAAGGTTGGCTCACATTTAGGTGATCATCCAGTAGGATTCCAAGATCCCTCTCACCGTTACTGCTATTGAGCCAGGTTTCACCTAATCTATATCTGTACATTTGACTTTCCTTGCCCAGCGTGGGTCATTCCACTATGTGTTCTGTGTGTCCCAGACCCAGACCGTGAGAACAAAAAAGCCAAGATTGACAGGTTGTTGCTCTTCTCTTGCGTAGCTCGTTTGCACAGTTCTTGGCTGGCAGGCACTGCTGCTGCCATAGAGAAAAATGGGTGTGTGTATGTGTGCTTTGGACGTGGTTTGTGCAGAGACAAGTCGGGCCAGCTAAAACTCCGTCTGTTTTTGCAAGAGAGGCGAGGGAAGGATCGCCGTGTAGCAAGCTTTAATGGCGGTATACAGGTAGTCCTCGACTTACAACAGTTCGTTTAGTGACCGTTTGAAGTTACAACAGCTCTGAAAAAAAGCCACTTATGGCCATTTTTTACACTTAACGACCTTTGCAGCATCCCCATGGTCACATGATCAAAATTCAGACGCTTGGCTACTGGTTTGTATTTATGACATGGTTGCAGTGTCCTGGGGGGGGGGTGTCATGTGATCCCCTTTTTGCGACCTTCTGACAAGCCAAATCAAAGGGGAAGCCAGGTTCACTTAACACCAACTTAACAGCTGCAGTGACTCACTTAACAACGATGGCCAGTAAGGTCGTAAAATGGGGCAAACCTCACTTAAATATCTCACTTAGCAATGGAAATTTTGGGCTCAGTTGTCATAAGTCGAGGATGGCCTGTATAGGAACGGGCCATTCAGCTGCTGCTGCCTCTCTTCTTTGACATCAGCATGTCTTTTAAGGTGTCTACTGTCAAAGTCAGGGGTGTCCAAACTTGACAACTTTAAGACCTGGACTTCAACCCCCAGAATTCCTGGGGAGTTCTGGGAGTTGAAATCCACAGGTCTTAAAGTTGTCCAGTTTGGACACCCTTGGAAAATTTATTCTCAGCTTTGTTTTGTGCCATGCAAGTCGATAGCCTGTCTAGGAAGAATAAGATTAAGCCTTGCTTTAGAAGCTTCACCGGAATGGGCACATTAGGGAAAAATCTGACTGCTCTACAATCAAAGTGTTGTTGTTTTTTTCCTTGCCCACTTAAATATCCTTTTTGCATCCACAACACAACGAATATGCGTGCAAGTCTTCAAGGAATCCTCCTCCCTCAAAGAGGACGGCGTTAACGTTTCCACCTTAATCCAAAATAGAGACTCGTGCATCGCACGCCGGCAACTAACCATATTATGACCTCTTGCTCCGTACAAAACAAGTTTCATGCTTTCCATCTTTGTATCCTCCCTGCTTGATCCGAAAGCAACGCAATCTGCAGGAATCACAATAGTGGCCTGCTTGAGGCTTCCTTTTATTAAGCTCTCCAGCCTCCTTTGGTCTGGAAACAGGGGTGCTCCGTGGTATTGGCCCCCCAAGTTCAAACCGTGTCGTTTCTCTTGAATCCACTTTCTGAACTGGAAAGCTGGGAGTGAAATTGGAGGATCCTGTTGTTTTCTGGTTTACAAGTCCTATTTTTGGACCTGTGGCAGTGATGTTTCCTTGATTTTGATATGCAGGGTGAGAACATGCCCTATTGTGCCCGGAGGGTAACCACAACCCAGCTGCTTTGTGTTCTTTTGCTCCAATTAAACATTCTGCAGGGTGTTTTGGGGTAGCAAAATAGGCTTAGCTCTGCATTCTTGGAGTCAGTGGGGGAAATAGCCACAAGTGTTTGGTAAAGGATATTTCGGCTTAGTTGAGTCACTGTAACCTGACTAATTCTAGGTTTCTAGTCCTGGTTTGTTTGCATAACTGAAATACATTTCTCTGGGCAAAAATCTTGAGAGCAGATATCAAAGTTTTATGTGCAAGAAGTTTCAAAATGAAACACAGGTTGTTCTCGGCTTAATTCATTTAGGGACCGTTGAGAATTATAACAGCATTGAAAAAAGTGGGACTAGGACCAGTGTCACACTTATATCTGTTGCAGCATCCCCGTGGTCACGTGATCAAAATTCGGACGCTTGGCAATTGGTTCCTATTTATGACGGCTGCCGTGTCCCAGGGTCCTGCGATCCCCTCTTGCAACCTTCTGACAAGCAGAATCATTGGGGAAGCCGGATTCACTTAACAACCGTGTTACTAATTGCAGTGATTCACTTAACAACTATGGCAAGAAACATCATAAAATGAGGCCAAAGCTTACTTATTTTGCTTAGCAACAGAAATTTTGGGCTCAGTTGTTGTCATAAGTTGAGGACTGCCTATATATCCTCTTTCCACCAAGTTTAACTAACCTGGAGTCACGCTCTCTGTTAGACTATGTGACGTTTCCCGTTTTGGCTTGTCTTTTTGGTGCTGTTGCTGGTCCCTCCCTACCTGTGTGAGCGTGTGACAGCAGCGGGTGGCATTTGGCGTGCTGCCTTCCCCTTTGAAGGTACAATTAGGGCCAGCTGCCTCGCTGCCCCTCCAGACTCCTCCTGGTTGTTTTCTTTGGGGAGCAGGCTTGCTTCAGTTATCTTTAATTATAGTGCCCAGAGAATAGAAGGACCCAGACAGCCGTTTCTTTAGTCTATTCTTTCCCTTTCGTTTTTTTTTTTATTTAAAAAAATGCAGATGCTCTCTGTTTGTAGAACTGCTTTAATAGAAGTATAGTTTTGGAACCGACTTCTCCCTCTGTCCGAACAAGGGATGTCCGAACAAGGACAGTGTCCAGAGGCAACGGTAGCTGGGCTAGGCTTATGAATGTATTGTTTTTAATGGATCATTTCCTCTCTTCTGGGTTGTCTCAGAGGTGCTTTTTCAAGAGGCAACTGGACTTTCTTTGTTTTTCCTTGGAAGATGTTTTGCTCTCATCCAAGACGTTTCTGAGAAGAACTGAAGAAGCTCCTTGGATGAGAAGTGAAATGCCTTCAAGGAAAAACAGAGGAAGTCCAGCTGCTTGAAAAAGCATCTTTGGGTCAACCCTGGCCTGGTTGATGAGAATCTCCATAGACACTTTTCTGGATTGCTCTTGTCCTGCCTTGAATTCCTGCATCTTAACCCACACTGCAAAATTTCAGGGATTTTCTGTTCGTTCGCACGCTGGCTGGCTGGCTGGCTTTGATTGGCAGTTAATTAGATTCATCCATCTCAACCGGCTTCTGTCTCCTTTGGGGGTCTTGGAGAAGTCATTTAAAGCTTTCACGATATTGCTTCTTGGGGCTGCGTGATTTGCATAACTCTCTCCATTGAGCATCTCAAAATGCAATTTGTCGGAGATGATTGTCCTCACACTCTATTTTTTTTGACACTCATCCAAACACCGTCTCCCTAATTCCATGCCAGCTTTTTCTCTGACTAGCCATCTTTAATATGAAGAACGTCAGGTTCATTGTTCAGTGCAAGTAATTCCCAATATAGCTTAACGCAAGCAGTAAGAAATCACAGGTTTCTGGGCTTAGGTGCTCCCTTAACAGAATAACAGAGTTGGAAGGGACCTTGAAGGTCATCTAGTCTAACACCTTGCTCAAGCAGGAGACCACTCTATACCACTCCAGACAAATGGCTGTCCAGTCTCTTCTTGAAAACCTCCAGAAAGGGAGCACCCACAACCTCTGGAGGGAAGCCGTCCCACTGGTTCATTGTCTTCACTGTCAGGAAGTTTCTCCTTAGTTCCAGGTTGCTTCTCTCCTTGATGAGTTTCCCTCCGTTGCTTCTTGTCCTGCCTTGAGGTGCTCTGGGGGATAGGTGGACCCCCTCTTCTTTGGGGCAGCCCCTCAAATACTGGAAGACTGCTATCAGGCCACCCTTATTCCTTCCTTTCATCAAACTAGACATACCCAAGTCCAGCAACTGTTCTTTATATGTTAGTGTACTGTTAAGTACACTATTTTCTTTTTACGTCTGTGTTTCATGTTCCTGGTTTGGGAATGTGCTAGATCAACCTTGGCCACCTCGTGGATTTCAACTCCTAGCTGGCTGGGGAATTCTGGGAGTTGAAATCCACAAGTCTTAACGAGGCCAAGATTGGACACCCTGTGCTAGATAATGGAGAAATGGGGAGGGATTTCCAGAGTATCCTATGTATTTTTCTCTCTCTTGTGCAGGGAGATCTGAAAGGATCTGTCAGAGAAGAGGAATCCCAAAGGGCCTGCAGGGAACCAGGAGCTTCTGACCTACTTCTGTGCCACCCTGTTTCCCTGTTAGTGTGAAAGTTGGTGTCGTGGTGCTGCCTAGGTGCTAAGCCCCCCTCCTTGAAAACATGTGAGGGGTGCCCCTTTCCCTGTACCTTCCTTGACCCCTTTGTGGGGGCGTTGCTGCTAAGGCCAAGGCGCTGGCCATCATGATGTTCCGGGATCAGGTGGGCATCCTGGCTGGCTGGTTCAAAGGCTGGAACGAATGTGAGCAGACGGTCGCCCTGCTGTCCCTTCTCAAGCGTGTCTCTCGCACCCAAGCCCGCTTTCTGCAGCTGTGCCTGGAGCACTCGCTGGCCGACTGCACAGAGATCCACGTCCTGGAGTCAGAAGCTAACAGCGCAGGTAAGTCAGTGGGGGTTTTTTGTGTGTGTGAGGGGGGAGAGTTTGAGCTTTTCTCCTCATTGCCTTTTTGTTTGCATCCAGACAGCTTGCCCACTTGGGTACCGCTAATCCTTGCTTTATGACCATTCCTTTAGTGACCGTTTGAAGTTAACTTCACTGGAAAAAGGGACTTATGACCGTTTTTCGACCGTTGCAGCATCCGTGATCAGAATTCAGGCACTCGGCAACTGGCCTGTGTTGGTGACGGTTGCCCTGTCCCGGGGTTGGTCACGTGATCAAAATTTGCAACCTTCCCAGCCGGCTTCGGACAAGCAAAGCCAATGAAGGAAGCCAGACTTGCTTAATGACTGCATGATTCCCTTAACAACGGCAGGGATTTCCAAGGCCGGCTGGGGAATTCTGGGAGTTGAAGTCCACAAGTTGTAAAGTTGCCAAGTTTGGAGAGCCCTGTCCCAGATCCTGCCGGCTGAAATTCCTTGGCTGAAGGGGTCTGCAGTGTAGGCATCACCCTGTTAAATATAACAGTCATGTAAAAATAAGACCATATAAAAGGCAGGGTGGCGTCTGATAGGACCTTTGTGCCGCCGCTCTTGTGGCAGCAAGCCAGCCATTGGCTCGTAGGCCAGGGCTGGGGGACGGTGGCCCTTTTAGGACTTGTGGACTTCAACTCCCAGAATTCCTGAGTCCCAAGTCGTAACTGGGCCATCCTTCCCCACACCTGACGTAGGCCTTGATAGGAAGGATCCCGCCTCAAGCTTAGGGCCTTCCCTCAGAGACCCCGGAAGAGGTTCCTGGCTCTTAAGCGTCCGGTTTGCGTCCCTCCTCCTCCTCCTCCTTCTCCTCTCCTTCTTCTCCCCACCAGCCCTCATCAACCAGTGGCATCAAGAGCCCAAAGACAAAGTCGTCTCCCTGCTCCTCTCCCACCTGCCCCTCCTCCAGCCCGGCAACGTAGACGCCAAGTCCGAGTACATGAAGCTTTTGCAGAAGGTGTTGGCCTACTCCATCGAGAGCAACCTCTTCATCGAAGAGAGCCGGCAGCTGCTCTCCTACGCCCTCATCCACCCGGCCACCACCCTGGACGACCGCAGCTCCCTGGCCCTTTGGCTCAACCACCTGGAGGAGCGCCTCTCCAGCGGCTACTCCAGCCAGGGCAGGGGACGGCCAGACACGGCTTACCACTCGCGCCAAGGCTCCGACGACTGGCAAGGCCCGGTGGAGACGGGCCTCGGAGATCTGGGGCACGGCTGGCAGGAGAAGGCGCCACGGGAAAACGGGCACCTGTCCTTCCACCCTGCCGGCTCGGTGTCCTCGGCCATCAATAGCATTGGGAGCAGCACGGGCAGCACAGGTTCGGAGAGGTCTTGCTGGGGGGGGGGTAAATGGGGGTGTCGCCATCCAGGCTGGGATATGTATGAGGAGCTGGGAAAACTTTTCATATTTCTGGATCAAAATAGCCTTTTCTGCTAAATATGTTCAGATCCTGGCTTGTGAGCTAGGAAGCCTCCACCTGGGGGGGCCCCTCCGGCCCCCGGGCCTCGTAGCTTGGGTGCCAGCCGTCCAACATAGAGCTAGATCAGTCTTTCCCAACCTTGACAATTTTAAGGCATGTGGACTTCAACTCCCAGAATTCCACAGCCAGCAATGCTGGCTGTGGAATTCTGGGAGTTGAAGTCCACATGCCTTAAAATGGTCAAGGTTGAGAAGCTCTTCCTCTAGATGAGAGCCAGTTTGGTCGGGTGGTGAAGGCACCGGGCTAGAGACCAGGAGGCTGGGAGTTCTAGTCCCGCCTTAGGCACGAAAGCCAGCTGGGCCAACCACAATGTCTTTTCCATAAGAGGAATGTGGTAATTTTGTGACCGGTGCGCCCTCCTCCCGTCTCCTCCTCGCAGCTCTTCCTTGCCAAATCCACCCCAGCCCGCTGAAGCGCTCCATGTCGCTCATCCCCACGGGCCAGCAGGTCCCCAGCGAGTGGATGAACATGGACGAGATGGGGGCCAGGTCGGCCTTCATCTCCGGCGGGGAGCACGCCCCCCTCTCGCCCCAGAGCAGCGTGGCTTCCTCGGGCAGCGAGCAGACGGAGGAGCAGCCCGGCGGTCGGAACTCCTTCCAGGAGGACGGCAGCGGCATGAAAGGTACGGCGGGTGCAGGAGAAGGGGACCGAATCACTGCCCCCCCCAGGTCCGAGCCGGCCAGGGCGGAGAAGGCCAACTCAATAATATTTCTTGCTTCACCCCCAAAAGGGTCTCCCTGAAACAGCTGCCGGAGGGCTGCAGGTAGCCACTTCCCTGGTGGTCTTCTCCAGGAAAGGGGGCTTTGGGCAGGGGGGTCTTGACTCCTCGGTCCTTTCCCACAGATGTTCCCTCGTGGCTGAAGAGCCTCCGTCTCCACAAATACGCAGCGCTTTTCTCCCAAATGACCTACGAAGAGATGATGACTCTCACGGAGCAGCATCTGGAATCGCAGGTGCTGCGGGGCAGGGAGGAGAGCAAGGAAAAGGGGGCTGCCCTCTGTGCCTGACGGGGGTCTGCTCCTGCCTCCTTCGAAAGGCTGGCGTTTGGGTGGTGCCTGGGAAGAGCCAGCGTTGTCTCCCGTTCCTGTGACTTTGGTCTCAGGGGCGTCCTTGCACGGCACCGTCAAGGGGGCCTCTCTGAAGACGTGGAAATGTCTGAATTCCCTTCTTGGCTCTCTTCTTCTTCTTCTTCTTCTTCCCCGAACAGAATGTGACCAAAGGAGCGAGGCACAAAATTGCCTTAAGTATCCAAAAGTTGCGCGAAAGGCAGAGTGTCCTCAAGTCCTTGGAGAAGGTGAGGGAGCTGCTGAGCGGGCCTGGGGTTCCGTGGGTTCGTGTGAATGGTTCAGAGCAGTGGTTCTCAGCCTGTGGTCCGCAGACCCCTATGGGGCTATGATGCCATGAGGGGTCCGTGAAGCCTTGAAGAAATGTTAGGATTTAACATTTGGGGATCCGTGGCCACAAAAGGTATTTAAAGAGATTGAGAACCACTAGTCTAGTCCAATTTTTCTCAAACTTGGAAATGTTAAGATAGGTGGACTTCATCTCCCAGAATTCCTCGGCCAGCACAGCAGAATTCCAAGGGGACCTTTCCCCTTTGTCGTGGCCTCCCCCTTTTTTCTCTCCAGGACATCTTGGAAGGGGGGAACTTATGGAACGCCCTTCAGGAGCTTCAGCAGATCATCACCACCCCCATCAAGGCCTTCCACGCTCTGCAGGCTGCGGCCGCATCCAAGGAGGCCCAGCCGTTGGCCGCCGAGCAGAGGGGGGGTCCCAAGCTGGCTCTGGAGAAAAGCAGCAACAGCACCATGGACAAGGAAGCCACCGACGACCCCTTCCCACCCCCAACAGGCTCTCCGTGCGATGGAGAATCCGGAGCGGCACCGATCGGCGAAGGGGACATTGCAGGGCAGTTCACTCGCGTGATGGGTAAAGGTGAGCTCTCTGGGGCGGGGGGGGGTTGTCCCCCAGTCACCAGGACAGGTTAGGCTGACTTTTTTCGAAGACACCTTCAAGAAAACTAGAATGTGTGGGCTGCGCTGTGGGTCTGTTTCCCCCATCCGGAAAGCTCTGTCTCGTAAGCTGCTCTCAACGTTCCCAAAGTTTAGAGGGTGGATGAGGTGATGTTTCTTATTGATAGAATATTTGTTGCTCAGATGTGAACTGTGGGATCCTTGGTGCTCTGTCAGCCGGGTTGTTTTCTTCCAGGCGTCTCATGACCCAACTAGGTAACATCATCAGTGCCCCATTCCTACTAGCCCTGTTGGGTGTTCTCTAGTTGGATCATGAAACGTTTGCAAGAAAATCACAAGCTCAGAGTCCCAAGGAGCCCACAGTCCTTTTCCTCCTCCTCCTCCTCCTCCTCCTCCTCCTCCTCCTCCACGCGCTCCACTCCCTTCTAGCACTGATGAGGTTATCTGGTTATCCAGATGTTATCCAGAGGAGGAGGAGAAAAAGCACTCTGGGATCTTCGGAGCTCTCTGAGCTTGGTGGTTTTCTTCCAGACGTCTCACGGCCCAACTAGGTAACATCATCAATGCACTCTGAGCTTGGTTGTCAGTGCCCTGATGATGTTACCTAGTTGGGTAATGAAACATCTTCAAGAAAACCTCTAAGGGAAGCACCAAGGACCCCTCAGATGTTTCTTATTGTGCCTTTTATGTTGAATTTGGCTTCTGGTTTTCCAGCTTTGATATAAACCTTTAGGAGTTGCTCGAATTTAGTGGCATATAAGCAAGACAAACAGTGCCACTCAAACCGGTCTGATTTCTCCACCTCTCCAGAAACCCTTTTGTAACCATTTCCTCTTCCTCCTCCTCCTCCTTTCTCGCAGTGTGTACGCAGTTGCTCGTCTCCCGGCCGGATGAGGAGAACATCACCAGTTACCTCCAACTGATAGAGAAGTGCTTGATGCACGAGGTAGGCCTGGGCGTTACGGGACACACACACACACACACACACACACACACTGTCTGAGACTGCTGATTCTTTCCCAACATGGCTGTCTTTCCATCCCCTTCTCGTCAGGCCTTCACCGAGACCCAGAAAAAGCGTCTCTTGTCCTGGAAGCAGCAGGTGCTGAAGTTGCTCCGTACTTTCCCGAGGAAGGCCGTGCTGGACATGCAAGGCTATCGCCCCCAGAAAGGGTAGGTCTCTGGGCACCGCTGGGGTGAAATGCGAGCAGGGCATCCAAGTGGGCACAAGGAACTTTCTAGGCCGGTTAGAGAGCTTCAGGCTTTTTTTTGTGCAACCCTGCAAGATTGGCCAGGCTAAGAAATGGACACAGGTGTAGACCAGGGGTCCTCAACCTTGGCAACTTTAAGACTTGTGGACTTCAACTGCCAGAATTCTTGAGGAATTCTGAGAGTTGAAGTCCACAAGTCTTAAAGTTGCCAAGGTTGGAGAGACCTGGTGTAGACCTAGGGCAGTGGTGGCGAACCTGTGGCACGGGTGCCAGAGGCGGCACTCAGAGCCCTCTCTGTGGGCACGCGTGCCGTCGCCCCAGTCCTAGGCCTTCAGCTGGGTTTTATAAAACCTTTTCGCTTTAGGCCTCCGCCGCCATGTGCAAAAAAAAAATAATGTTCAATCAGTCAATTTCAACTTCTCACAGGAAAAAAAAGATCTTGCAAAGTTGGAATTGATTGATTGAACTTTTTAGTCCCACCCAGTCTGCCGTTAGCACCGCAGCCACGCCCACCCAATGGGCCACACCCAGCCAATGGGCCACACCCACCTGGCACTCGACGATGCATAAGTGGGTTTTGGGTTGCAGTTTGGGCACTCGGTCTCTAAAAGGTTCGCCATCACTGCCCTAGGGGTACTTTTATAGCTATACTAATAGTTTTAGCTCTTCTGTTGTGTCCGGGCCTTGTCAAGCACAGCTTCTTTCAGTTGTTGGCTGTTCCTCTTTGTATCGGCTTTGATGGGATCAAGCCGGCAGGTTCTTTGCTTGCCCCCTCCTTCTTGATCCACGGACCAACCCTAGCCTCACCGACACCCGTGCAGGAGCAGAATTCAGTTCCAAAAACGAACTCGGGGGTCTTTCAGAGCTTTCTGAGCAGCTGTTGCACTAGCTAACATGATGACAAGCGGAGGGCAACACTGTCGGTTTGTGGTGTCAGCCTGCCATGCAAATGACACTTCAGGGGTCCTTTGTGGGAAAGATGGAACCAGATCGCTGTCGGAACGATTTCCCAAGCCGCCCGCTTAAACCCGTAAATCCTGACGAGCTTTGCCGCTGATGGCTTGCGAAAGTGAATTCAGTTCAACAATAGAAATGGGTTTCTTTTATCCTTCGAAATGACGGGGAGGTTTTTTTTTCCCGTTGAACGATGCTTTCATACCTAAGGGAAGCTGTCACTTTAGTTAACCAAAAAAAAAAAAAAAAAAAAAGCCTGCAAGTGCCCCTGTGCTATTGTGAGGTTGCGATATGCAAATGTAAACTGCTCAATTTGGAGCCTTTTTGAAAAAGAGGGGGCTTAATTGACCCATCCCTATTCAGAGTGAGGAGATTTGGGGGGGGGCTTCCCTGCAGCTCCTCCTAGCTGGGGTCTGTTAGCTCACTTTGCTCTTTGGGGTTGGGATGGGGGGAAGTCAGCAGTGTTGGAGGGCGGGGGAGAGGAAGGCTTCCAAGGGTCCAAGCCCCTTGAGGGAGGGGCCGTTCTTCTGAGCCGGCTTCATGGCTTGGGCTCCCGTGGGCAGCCAGTGGCACCGCTTTGGGTGGCAGAGCAATTCCAGACTCCGCCACGATGGTCTGGCCGCCGATAGGATTGACTTCCTGTGTTTTTGCAGATGGGCCTTTGGCTCCAACTCTCTCCCCATAGCTGGATCTGTGGGGGTGGGAGTGGCCCGCCGAGGACAGAGGCAGTTCCAGATGCCCCCCCGTGCCCTCCCCCCAAGCCGCATGGGGATCCTGAGTCCCGTGGGGATCGGTGGAGTCTCTCCACGGCACGGTCTGACCAGCCCAAATCTGGGGAGCCAAGGTCGGCAGGTAAGATCCGGCTTAATCTGGCAGAATAACATCCGAATGCCTCGGAAAAATTGCTGCCGGTCAAGAGGTGCCTTGACTGGGAGAGGGTTGGTGGGGATCTTCGGCCACCGCCCCAGAGTGAAGCCGCCCCCTGCTCTCTCCTTGCACCGCCCTTGGTCCACCACACAGGAGCAGCCTCCGTCAACGGCCTCTCGCCTTCTGCCAGGTGCGGCTCTCTCAGCCAGCCAGGTTGCCTGTCTCTGGGATGGACTGTTTCTGTTGCTTCAAGTGCAGCCCCCTACTCAAGAGACAGATGGCCCTCCGGCCCCTTTTTAAAAACTCCCAGGGATGGAGCCACCTGCAGCTTCGGCAGGGAAGCCGTTCCCTTGGCGACTTGCTTCTCGCTGTCAGGACATTTCTCCTTAGCTCTAGTTTGGATAGCCGTGTTCCAGTATCTCAGGGGCTGCCACAAAGGAGGGGAGGGGGGGTGTCAACCGATTCTCCAAAGCACCTGAGGGCAGAACAAGAAGCAGCGGGTGGAACTAGGGAGGAATTTCATAACGGTGAGAACAATTAATCAGTGGAACAGAAGTTGTGGGTGCTCCATCGCTGGAGGTTTTTAAGAAAAGACTGGACAGCCACCTGTCTGAAATAGTCTAGGCCAGGGGTAGGCCACCTTGGCTCTTTTATGACTCGTGGACTTCAACTCCCAGAATTCCTGGGAAAGGGAGAGGTTTCCATGCTGAGCCATGCTGGCTCAGGAATTCTGGGAGTTGAAGTCCACGAGTCATGAGGGGGCTATAGTTCCCCCATGCTGGCTCAGGAATTCTGGGAGTTGAAGTCCACGAGTCATAAAAGAGCCAAGGTTGCCTACCCCTGGAGGCTCATCGCTTAGAACAGGAGGATTTAGGACAGAGATAGGCAACCTTGGCTCTTTTATGACTCGTGGACTTCAACTCCCAGAATTCCTGAGCCAGCCATGCTGAGGGGGAAAGGGAGAGGTTTCCAAGCTGAGCCATGCTGGCTCTGGAATTCTGGGAGTTGAAGTCCACAAGTCATAAAAGAGCCAAGGTTGCCTACCCCTGGCCTAGACTCTCCAACTTGAGCAGGGGGTTGGGCTAGAAGACCCTCAAGGTCCTTTCCAACTCTTACCACTCTGTTGGGATCAAGGGGTTGCGCTTGGGTGAAACAGAGGAGATTCGCTCGCGGCATCGATGCTTGGCTTTGCATTTCAGAAAGATTATTTATTCCTACTTCATGTTTCTGAGAGAGGTCCTTCTTTCCTGTCCCGTAGAACCTCTGGTTTGCCAATCCCGGCGGCAGCAACAGCATGCCCGGCCAGAACCGCAGCTCAGTCCAGCGGACCCACTCGCTGCCCGTCCACACCTCCCCTCAGGCCATCCTCATGTTCCCACAGGGTGAGTAAGCCGGCCCCTCCGCCTGTCACCTGCGTGGGAGGCGTCCGTCTTTGTCCTGCGGCTGGGAAATCTCTTGGGAACGCTGGTCTCAGGATCGGATTTTTGGCCCTGGAGCACCAGCCCTTCCTTAAGCCAGGGGTTAGGTCTTTGGGTGAGGGTCTGCGAAGGGCTTTCTCCTCACGTTTAAGGATCGGCCCCCATCCTCTTTCCTCTCCCCGACTTGAGCAAATTTGCGGCATCTGTATTTCACCACGGGCCCTAAGCCCCAGCCACAAGCGGTGCCACCTCCTCTGTGGACCGCCAGAGCCACCCACGGCTGTGCCTGATGGTTCTTCTGATCTTTCCTCCAACCTCTCAGATTGCCAGCTCCCTGGAACGGATCTGGAGATCAACCCCACTTTGGAGTCCCTGTGCCTGAGCATGACGGAGCACGCACTGGGCGGTAAGGAACCCTGCCTTGCCAGATCGTGAGAAGGAAGGCCAGAGATGGGCTTTCCCTGAGGGGGGGAGGGATTCTTGTTAGGCCCCTAACTTGTGGGGTGCCTCAGGGGTCGGTCCTCTCGCCCCTATTGTTCAATATTTATGTGAAGCCGCTGGGAGAGATCATTCGAGGCTTTGGGGTGGAGTTCCATCAGTACGCTGATGATACTCAGCTGTACATCTCCACCCCAGGCCACCCCAACGATGCCCTTGACGTGATGACCCGTTGCCTGGAGGCC